GGTAAGTTCATAACTCGAGAACCTGAAAAGCTAAAAGACTGTAGTTTTAAGAAGATGTTCCCCGTCTAAGTAAGTCTCAGCGAGCTCAAACCCAGACATCGGGTATGCGTTGTACCCGCGTACGGGCCCATGAAAGTTTTTTTCCAGTAAGTTGCTAACTTAGAAGCCAGGAAAGCTAGAAAGCTGAAATTTTAGGGGGGTGTTTCCTGCCAGTTCTGGCGGCCAATCTTAATTTGTTTAGCTAGAAACACTTGCTGAAAAAACCGATGCCGGTAGCGACAAAAACTGCGGGAAACTATGCAAAAAACGCATCTTTGCACGGGCAGCCCGTGCGTTGGCCAATTATTTTTTTTATCGTAGGTCCGAGAATCAGAGTTTGTACATGAGGGCGCTTTTCAAATGCTTTTAGACTGTGGGATTTCTTGTGGAGTATGTGCGATTAAGCTGTTGCAGGTTACGAAGAGGATTGTCATAATGATTTTATTTTACTTTTTTTGCTGGGCCCCACATTGGACATTAAATTTGCTCGCGCATTTTGGTCTCATTGTTGTAAGTTTTTTATCTGTAAATTACTCTTTTCAAACCCTTTGAGCAATAGGCGCGCTGCTGCTGCGCCATTGCAACCTTACTGACGTTAAAGACAGGCGTAATGCCTTAACCGGGAGGCTGTCAAGTGCGTTTCTTGTTTTGTACAGTTAGTTTGTACATTGTGAGAAGCTATCGCGCACGTGATATGGGCGTTTTCTGTCGCAATGCAAATGGACACTGACTGGCCTTGTTGAAACAGGCAGGAGTTTTTAGGGAATGGCGATTTCCAGCATTTCTCGTTAGCACGAAGGATTTCTAATTCCCATGCTTGATGCATCTGAAATCTGTAATCTCAGTACCCCACGAGTACAAGAAATGGGCATAATAGGGCTTACAAAATTGATATTAGATAATTTCATTCCATCTTGTGGAGTAAGCTGTGACCCGGAATTTCAAGGGTTGCAGGTTTCTGCGTTCTGAAATGATCAGACTGGAAACTGGGGTAATTGCTCAAATTACTGTCAAGTCTGGAAGTGTTTTTGACTTGTTCAACTTTTTCCGGTGAAGTGAGCCCCAGAAATTTCTATTCCACGTCGTCGTTCATTCTCGAGATGTAAAATTACCGTTAATTCCATGAAGAGATGTGAAGTGAAATTCGTGTTTTCAACCTATTTGTGGTTAACTGCTATGTTTATATAACTCAGATTTTCGCTTTCCCAGTTTTACAGTTGATTTTTTAGAATAGGTGGGCGGGTCCACAGAAAGATAAACGCATGCACAAGGCTATAGTGCGTTTTTTTTGCGTAAATTTTTTATTAAAAAAAAGGCACTAGAGCGGCTGTATGAAAATATTTCTTGGGTAGTGTTTTTTCGACTGAGCTAATGAAATTTTGAAAGCAAATTATTTTGAAAATCGAAAACGCACCCGTCAGTGAAATAGGAAAGCCTAAATATCCGTTTGTAATTGAAGGACTCAACTCTTTGCTTAGTAATTTTTTGAAATATAGCTATTTTTGCAAAAATAAACTGCTTATACGAAAATATAGTAATATAATAACTGAGGAATGTCGTAAGTAAAACCATCTAGCTAACACTGTTTTTTACACAATTTTTTTGCATAAAAAATGCATTACGGCGGTATTACTTCATTCTAACTGTATGTCCAGCTACCTGTTTGGCTTGTAGCGCAGCAAAAGCTAAGAAGCTGAAATTCTGGAAACAAAATTCTCAGTCACATACTTGAAACCGCACAACTCCTTTTTCTTCACTTCCTGTCGTATAACCTCTGGTATCAGAGCAGTGTACTAATTTCAGGATAGGCTAACTGCAGATCTGAAATTTTTTTTTGTTGCAGCACAGAAATGAATTATTATTTAATTCCGATTTAAAGCCTTATTGCGCCTCAAGTACTGGCCTCGTTTTCAAACAGTGGGCTTAAGGAAAAGAAGGAAGCTATGAATCTGAACCTTCGATATAAATAAGGAGATGAAAAAATCACGGGACTCCCGTGTGTTTTGAGTATTCACTCACGATGACTGTGCACCTGCTGCAAAAGCGCATAGCCGATCTTCTACATATTCCACATCACTGTTTATTTTATATTACTTAAATATGCTTCACATGCGCTAGAAAAATGAGCTCTTGCTCTGTCAGCCTGATCACGTCAGTGCAAAAAATTTCGAAATCTCATTTTTTCACGGATTGTCACATTTCTTGGGGTTGCTTAAACGGAAAAGAAAAATAATTTCCAGGTATCGTGGTCAACATTGACGCTGTCGTCAATATTTTTTGCCGCTCATTTATTAGTCTGTTTTAATTCTGCGGCCAATCCAATAATGTACGCACTTATAAATCGTGAATTACGGCAGCAGCATATCCAGGCGCTGATAAGGCGACGTCGCTCATTATCCAACGCAACAAACGCTGCCCTGGATGTGCTTGTCAAACATTCGCACCAGTTAGTTTATCAGTTCCACTTTTCATTCGACTGATTTAATCCTAAATTCGCTTCACCCCAAGATGCTTTTTAAAGTGGCAGAGCCTTTTTTGGTGATCAAACTGAAGTCATTTTTATGCATTTTTGTATAAATGCAAATGCAAGAATGCATATTGTGACGACCCCCTGTGTGTATATGTGTGTGCCTCTGTCCGAGTACTTCAGCTCGGCAGCCAAGCAAGCTCTGACGCCAAAATTTTGCCAGTGCGTTTGCGGGCCAAGTGCCACCTTCAAGACCGCGGTATCAATTCTCATGCACGTCTAGGCCTCGCGTACGGGCGCGGGGAAACCGTTAACTCGGAAACTAGAAAAGCTAGAAAACTGAAATTTAGCGGTTATGTTCCCTGTCTGCATAGAAGTCAAAGATTTCAAATTTTGTCCTCTGACGTACGGCCTCACGAAAACTTCTGTCGGGAGAATTGCTAGCTCGTGGGCCAGAAAAGACAGAAAGTTGAAATTTTGAGGGGATGCTCCCCGACCAAGTACCACGTAGTTGCACAATTATTTCCTAAATTTCGCCAAACAATGTGCCATAAATTCTAGCTACTGGAAATCCATGCGATCTTACGACCGCATGAAATGCTGCAAAAACGCATGATCGCACGGCCTCGCCCAGTGCTCGTCGCCAGTGATTTTTACAAATCAACCGCTTCCCGAAAAAAAAGCCTTTCTCAAGGAGAATAATTTTAAAGCGTTGGCAGATGCCTGTGCAAATCTGCTATTGAAAAACTCCCATAGACTGGCCGTGATGACTGACTTTGAAAGTAACGGAGCACTTTCACTGCATTATTAGCAGTTTTATTAGTCTCTGTCTTCTTCGGTTTTTATTTAGTAATTAGTTTATGGTTAGTTTAGGCTTGGTAGCGGTTTCTTCCTTAGTAATGAAGGCCGCCTTCCGTAAGTTCTAAAACATCGTTTGTTTTCTTTTTCCGGTCCTTTTATTTTACCCCTGGATTTGGTCCACATTTTCCACTTTTTCTTCAAATCCCGTGTAAAAGCACATTGGAAGAGACCAAATGTTGTGATCGTACGTTTGTTTTTTCCCTCTGTCTCGATGATTCAATGAAAGTATTCAAGGAATCAGAATTTCGAGGTTTTAATAAGCAACTTGCAGAAGTTGGAGGAGCAGCCGGACACATGAATGAGCTACCAGACACACCCATACCCATTAGTCTTTGCAAATAGCACTGTCCAGATCATTTTTCTCATGGTTATACAAGTTTAATCAGAATCAGAAACTCCCTCCGTATTTGCTCTCAGTGGTAGGCCGAGGCATCTGGGAAGTCGGCCGCATGGTAGCAAAAGCCAACAGAGCAGTCACACGCTGGCAAGAAGATCAATGGGTTCCACTTCTGAAGGTTGCTCACAAAAAGCTGATGGCGGGTTCGAGTCCCAGAGAAACATTAGCACTAATTTACCATTAAAACGAATGAACGAATCGCAGGTGAATTGGTATCCCACCTGGTGAAATTTCTTGCATAACCTATCGCAAAATAGGAGTGAAAGTAGGCAGAAACAAAGATGAGAAAAAAATTGTTAGCTGTGCTGCATCTGCTAGTGCATCAGAAAAAGCTGCAAAAATGCATGGCCACATGGCAATCACTTTTATTAATTGACCTGCACTCCTTTCTATTCAGCTGCATGCTTTTAGAATTTTCCCCATGAATATGAGGAAAGTTTAGTTTGTTTCTGATATAATATGGGGCATTGTTACAATGAATCCTCTGTAAGCACTTTTGCCCGCCTCGTCTGTGTAGTCATCACATATTACCAATGGCGTAGCCAGATGACAGTGGGGCACTTCTGCAAAATTTGATTCAACTGACCAGTACTTTATTTTTTAAACAGCTGGCATTTTAGTGATAAAAATCATTGATAAGATGTTAAATGAGTAATACAGTATAATTTTTAACAGGGAATTTAACAATTTTCCATTTTAGTGATATGCGTTCGCGAAATCGTCGAGTAAAAACTAATGCAGAAATAATCCCTCACAAATTATGATTGTAGAAGTATGTAGAGTAGCGAAAAAAAAATTACCGTTGGAGCACCACAAATTCATATTTTCAAGCTCAGTAAAGTCGGAGGGGAAAGAATATTTAAAGTGCACACATCTTTCTGCAAGTACAGATATAATCATGGCCACTTATCGAAACAAAAAGTTTTTTTTTTTTTTTTTGTTATTTTCCTGGCATTTCCTATACATATTAATAAATGGCACCCACTGATTATCTAATCCCAGCGATCATTTATCTCGCTCATTAGATTTTACTTCCTCTCATAGTTACAAGAATTTAACTTATCCCTCTCCCCCAGTTCCCCAGGGCCCTTAATCCTTGCGAACTAATGAAGGATAGTTTACTGTTACAGCCGGACTTGGGGAAGCAATCTATGCGGGCCCCTTTAAATCCGGTTCTGCGGGTGACTTTTCCCTTTTTTGTGCCCCTCTTTACAAATCAATTTTCCTTTGGGAATCAAAGATAATATCCTTATTTCAGTTCTAAGCCGATTTTGGTAGACCACATTCCAGCTTTCATCCCCTACAGGCATCTTATAAAGCCCGTTTTCTAAATCCACATCAGGTTTAAAAACAAGGTCAGGCGGAGGCGAAAAGGGCACACACAGAACCTTTCAGGTCATGCCAGCACGCTGCATCAAAACTAACAGCAAAAAGGGCTTATTTTCGTATTCCGGAGAGAGTTCATAAAGACACCTAAAATTCTGTGCTTCTCGATCCTTCAACAAGTTATCACATTTGAACTTAAAACTACATTTCAAAACTTCACAGAGTATCCACATAATTTAGCTGCCAGCCGATGTGTTAAACTGTTTTACGTTCAGGTTTTTGACCTCGCTACAAATTCTCAATTCACTTTGAAAAGCGCCAATTTCCTATTTCGTATGCACGCCTGCCTTAGAAATAACGAGGCTAGCTTCAAGCGCTATTTTCAGCTAGAAAGCTTAGTTTGTGATTTAATTTGTGGCATCTTTTCTAAAAAGTGGTAACTAATCCAATAAGTGATAAACAATAGTAAACTGTAAAAAAAATGCTTTTTTCGAAACGTACAAAGTTAAAAGCGCGGCAGATCAACCAACAGAGCGTATTTTTTGTTAAAGATAAACAGGCTTAAGGTCTTTTTGGAATGAGAGCACTTTTTTGTCCCGAAATATAAGACTAGCGCCAAAAAAATTGGAAGAGCTGCAGCGGCATCAAAACAGGGAGTAGAGTTTCCAAGCAAAAAAAACGTAGAACAAGAGACCGAAAACGTATGGATAAAATAAATGTGATGAATTTCTGTGAATGACTCCCATCATTTGTAACCAGTGCTTCAATTCACTTCCTATTCGTATGCAGCCGCTGTAACTTCCATCTAGATTGGAACAGTATCACATGCAATTAATCCCAAAAAAGGAAAAGAGATCGACAAAAACTTGAGCGAAAAAATTCAACTCAGGCAGAAGTTCGCAAACGCGCTTAGCATTCAGTTTACTTAGTGCCTTTAAAGCGGATAAATATCGACAGAATAGAGTGTTTTCACACTTTTGCACAATGACATTATCTTCATTTTTTACCATCTACTAGCAAGGCTGGAACAGATTTGTGCTATACAGGTTCAGGGGATCAAAATAAGTTTGGATGGTATCTTCACTTAACAGGATCTATTAGGTCATTAATCCTACTGCTAGGGCCGTTGTCAGGATGACTGCGCAATCCGATTTTCGATTAAATCGAAATAATAGTAAAATGAAGATTTTGGTAAAATTTAACATATGTTTTCTGAAAAACAGATTCCCTGCATCCTTCTCTGGCTACGCTACTACTCCACACAAGCATAACCATAATTGTCTAATATTTCAATTTTGTAGTAATTTTTTATTTCAGTTTGATGGAATGTGCCGTGCCACTGCATTGCAGCTTCGATACAGCAAGCTATCATCTCAATCGACATCGGACAAGGTCCTCTTTTGCTTTTCAGTTTTGCACTACAACATAAAATGCTGAGAAATCAATTGTTTGATGCTCGTATTTTCTAGTCCACCTTTGTCTTTCATTCTTTTTTATAATTTTTTGCCAAACAATATCAAAGTAAGTTAAAAGTTTGTTTTTAAAATTCAGAAAGGAAAACAATTCGCTTTCACCATCAACAGTTGGTATGCGCTCGTGCTCGTTCAGTACTCCCACAATGACCACTGGAAATGATGGCCCAAATGTGACATCGTCCGTGGATCAGTTGCAGTCTGCTGATGATACGCCACTTCACGTCAGCTTCTCAAGCATCGTGACGGACGGTGGGCATGGAGAACAAGCCAGCACCAATAGAAACTTCTTGCTCATACCTCAAATTAAAATCGAATCTACAGATTCATTTCTTTGATTGTAGTTCCAGCATGTCATCTGCCTGTTTTTTGTATTGTTTCACTACTTTTAATGAGAAATTCAAACAAATTCTCGCTCATTTGTTTTTTTTAGCCATACTGAATAATAGTGAAAGAGTCAATTTTGATCAGCTTTTCGACGGATACCTATTTTCTAAGAGACGGCCAATGTTCCAGAATTGCAAATGGTGGCCTCAGCAAATGAGTATACAACTATTAAATAGTTAAAAGGAGGGTCTAACTGAGAAATTTCACTTATCTCTAGCTAAATCTGCTGTCAATTTTATTTATTCTGCATGTTAGGCTATAAAACTCTTATTTTTTCACGTTTCTCATCAAAAAATTAAGGGATTGGCCTGAATTTCAGCTTAAAATTGTGGTGAAAATGCAGTGAAATCGGAAAATTAATTTAAACTTTTCGGTCCCCTTCTCTTTCGGCCCCTGAATACCTTTTCCCATTCTGAGTTTGTAAAACGTGCATTAATTTCAGCTCATGGTTACAAGTCAAGCTAAATCGAAGTATAAAAGCTGATTTAAACATCCATGACTACATGCATTTCGGCAGTGATCGTAATAGTATGACAGCTCAACTAGCTGATCTGTGAACAAAAAAGATTTGTTAGAATTTTTGAAGATAAAACTCTACCCGACTGGCTCGAGTGGCCTTTTCCGAATAACGAATCAGTTAAATTTATAATATGAGACCGACTGGGAAACGGAAATATTTTCAGTAACACCACACCCAGCTGTAAACCGTGTTTTGAGATAGATTCGTCTAAAAGAGGGAACTTTTCTAAAGCAGCAAACAAAATTGCTGTTCTTTTGTAACATGAAAAGAGGAGGCGATGACCTCTTACTTGCTGTTTGGTGGGTCATTGGCCAAAGTGTGAGTTGCTTTGTGTGTCAGCTGAGCCGTAAATTAAGTGGTATCCACACTTTTGCAGCGTGTTACATGCCGTTCATGTCACGGCAATTATCAAACGGAATGAAGAGAGGCAATGAAAAAAAAAGATGCTCATTCATACAATTTCTCACAAAGATGTCTGCCTCTTCTTCCTGTCCTTCGATTACCCGCCGTTGAGATGATGCGAAACCTCCTCATTCGTCGACGCTTGCTTTAACATTTCTCGTTTCTTCCATGTTCACAGAAGGTACACACTGCTTTCGCATAACTGTATTTTCCTTTTCTTTTTTTTTTCTTTGTTTTAACCGGAGCATTTGCCGAACGATTTTATAAAGATGTGCAAGCAATCGACTTCACAAGCGTTTTTTTTTTTTTTTTTTGAGGAAACACTTCCCA